TTATTTGAATGGATTAAAGGGGTGGGAGCATCGCTGGAAAAAATGTATCGACTTAAAAGGAGACTATGTGGAAAAATAAAATTGAATTTAACCGAAAAATTACTTGTTTCTATGTTAGGCTCACAACTTTTCAGACGACCCTCGTACATATAACATCTAAAGCTGCTAAATGAAAGATTAATTTCAGGTAAAATATTTAAATCAGATAAATTATTTTTTTTTTAACGTCACGTATTACTTATGTATTTCTCTTGTGTAAAATAAAATAATGTTATATTTATTTTTCAAAATTAAGCTGATTGGTCATTAACAAGATAAAATATAATCATGAAAAATCAGATATATTTCAAACAATGTGTTTATTGTTCTTTTTTTGATTGTAGATGTTCTTTTCGAAACTTCAGAACAGAAAACTGAACTCTCGTCGTATCTTGTTTGTATTATATTTCCATCACTGCTGTGAAAATACTGCAAATTTCCATTACCGCTCTGCATGGCTTTATAACATAGCTTTGCTTAACCCCCTCGACATCCTCGGCACCACACGGATTGAACGGATTCTCAATTCCTCACGTGGCGCGACGGCAACGACGATGGCGAGCGCGCGGGGCATGCGCGTGTTGAGTGTTCCCGCGTTCACCTGCGAGGGTATAAAAGATCGCGTGTCGAGAGCATCGGACTCAGTTTAATCTCGTCAGTAAGACATAATCGTCTTGACGAGGAGAAGAAGCGATCGAGTTACCTATCGATCGAAAAAGATCGATATAGCGTAATTGTGCTGTAATAGCGGCGAAAATATATTCGAGTAGAACAAGTGTTTTTCTGTGTACGAAAGTCTATCTCGTGTGATTTGAAGCGACACGAGTCAACTGTCAAACGACATGGAGGAGTCCGCGCAAGTGATCGATTTGACCGAGCACCAACAGCATCATCATCAATATCATCACTATCATCATCATCATCATCATCATCATCATTATCATCATTGTCATCATCATCGAGGTAGAACACCCGTGGGTGAGATTGGTGACGACGAGTGCAGCACCGACAGTGGATGCAGCAGCAGCGATGGAAGTACCGGAAGCGGCGAACGTCTATCGCAACGCGGTAGCGGTGAACGTTTGTGCAGATCCAGGTCCTCTCCGAGAACGCATTGCTACCCAGAGCGGCTGCGAGGACGAATGACACGATCGCAGGAGCGGCTTAGCACTAGCGTGCAGAGATCGTCGGAGCGCACTTGGAGCTTTCCCGAAGACGTCAGGAGTCTACCTCGTGGTGGTACCTCACCCTCATCCTATTCCTCCAGTCCTTCGGATGCTCACAGCAGCAGCGATAGCGACTCCCTTAAGAGGCCCTCCACAGCGGAGACTCTACGACGAGCCTTTCAAAGTCTCAAGATTACCTCATCCAAGTGGGATAACAAGAAGGAGAAGAAGCACGCGAAGAAGAGCCCGAAGAGGATTTTGCGCAGCCCGGTGCCCTATATATATGTCCGAGGACCATCCGGTCTACCCACTCAAAGGATTCCCCGAAACTCCGGTTTTCAGCAGAAAACTATACAGCCGCGCTCCTGTCAAGATCTTTAATCGATTACGTACATCGCTGCGAGGCAAATTTCGAGTATTTAGACGCGCAGGACCAAGGTACATTCCTCTCTCAGAGGAAATATTAAGGACTAAAATATTAAGGATAAAATGCGTAATTAAACGTCGCCTTTTGATCCTCGTGCTCGCGATCACGTTATTACGTATCTCGTTATTACGTAGTATCATCGACGACGAGTGCAGTTATCTTTACAAATTCCGAATTCGCGTGCGGCGTTAATCATAAGGTATAATTTCTGAGCTTTTTCTCGTTTTGTTTCTCCTTTTTTTCACTTGATATTCTTATTCGATTACATTTCACGTACGACTTGCTCGACTGTCGGGACATTTTTTGAGACACACACACACACACACACATACACACACACACACACACACACACACACACACACCCACACACAACACACGGGCAAGGTTCTTCTCTTTTAAGTAGTATAAGTCAAGCGTAACGTCGACTCAACGTGAATTCGCTCGAATCAGCGAAACGTATGACAAGAAAGGCAAAAGAAAGACAATTAACATACATAAAGAAAGATGACATTAAATTAAATATATGCACAATTATTACATTAGCTGCAGATGAACCTTGATACCGGACACAGAAATTATTTGCATATTAAATTACGAAATAGTAGTACTATGAAACGAAAAAAATATTATACATACATATGTATATAATACGCATATATATGTTCGATCTTATTATCTTCGTATTATTACTTCTAAATTGGGATATGCAGGGAGTAAAATAAACTTTTGTGTGTTTAGGATCGTCTGTATATATGATAATTTCTAATATTCTCTTTACATCTTTTCACTAAAACTTTGCCATATATATAGACTGTTTATTAAAGCCAAAATACTTGTCACGATATATGCGCGCATATGTAGAATTACAGTCATTCAACACTTTTCTCTAATAAGTCTGACTAATATTCTTTAATTACAAGCGCATGGAGGATGTTTAGGATGTACAAACGTGCAGACTGATAAGTTTAATGTACATTAATTCATATTGTCATTTATCAATAAACTTATGTAAGATTTTATTAACTACTTATATGCCACCATTATCTTTATTGTAATTTCGACTCCAAGTAATTAAGAATTTGATAGAAATAATTCTTTAATAAGAAACGAGAAATTATGACGGATATCTTTGGAAAATAGTAAGCGATACATATCACTATCGATACACTACAATTTCCCAAACACTTGTAGCTTTCAAGATGTTAATGAACAAAGCTGATTTCAACCACAATCAAAGGAAATAGGTTGTCCATTTCACTTTTTAAGGAAATTCAAATTATGTGTTATTGAATATGTAAAAAGGTTTATCTCAAATAATATTTATTTTTTTAAATGTTATCTTATTTTTCCATATATATATATATATATATATATATATATACATATTATTTATCTACATATATTTGAAATTTATTACCATTATTTAGATTATTTAATTTAATCTCAAGTTTAACTGAAATTCTCTTTATTCTCAGAATACATCCTCTTAAATCTATTGAAAACTTGTATTAAATTACAATGTAAAGTAAGTGACTGACCGTTAATACCAGTTACCATGTGTCATTTCTTTCCGCGATGACAGATTACGCGGCAAGAGGTTAATCAGGTATATTGGTAGCATGTAATTAATACATCGTACAATTATAATATTATTATTTATCAAAGAAAAACATACAATGAGAGTGTATGTTGATGAAATCTTCCACAACTGGCAAAGACTGACTAATTTTCAAAAATCGAAAAATTCGATGTTAAATATGAAGAAAAAGATCGAAACAATGATTAGAAAAAAAAGAGAAATCACGAAAAATACGGCATACACCACACACGCGCGCGCGTTCCTCGAGAATCTCATCTATGTAAAGATACTGTAAGTCTATGCGATTCATATCTAGTGCCTTGTAGATACCCTCAAGCGTGTCTGTACGATTAGGTGTTATCGATAGGCGAAAATGCAAGAGAATCGAAAGGAACAAAATTATATTCGCTACCGTCACGCGGGTCGTGTATACATATATGTATATGATGTAATATATGAAGATGTAATCGCGCAGAATAATCGTGTGAAAGTGTTGAAACAATAAGAAAGACAGGATAAAAAGATCCGTTACTCAGGACTGAATGTTTTGTATTATTTTATCTATGTCGACATTTACGTTTCAAATAAACGTTTTTTCATTCTAAAATCTGTTTTTCTCCCTTTTTTCTCTATACCAATGATTATATAACATAACTATTAAAAATAATATAAGTATATTATTTCACAAGATTTTAATATTATTTTGATAGATTGAATTATGAAACGCGAAACTTTATTCGCAAAGTATTTGTTTCTTTGGTTTGTATCCTAAATTCGTCTACATATGATAACGTACATATGTTGATACACATGCACATTGAACGACGATATCTTTCGTGGAAGAAAGAAAAAATTAAGGTATTTAAGGTATGCGCGCGTTGCAGTCACGGTATGTGTTTTTATCCATGGCCATGACAGAAGCCTGACCTAGTTGCAGGAGCTTGCACCTCTGCTCTGTGTGACGTCAGGATGCGCAGGAGTCCCATTCACGAGTCTTGGACAAGATAGATCGGTAGGTATGATCCACCTCCGTGTGAAATGTCATAGTTCATTCAATGATCCGCTATAGTTTCTCTTCCTCTCGTTCATTCTTCGCGTATCACACACACACACACACACACACATCTGTCTTTTCTCTTTATAAAAATTAATCTTTAACTTTCTAAAAATACTTTATCTTAAAATAGTATGCTTTTTTTCTTTAACACTAAACATCTAAAGCTATTGTTGTATCAATTTTTTATATTATTCAAATTATTATATTTATATTCCAATTGTAATTAAAGGATTTATCCCCACATTTTTTTTACTATACATGTGTGTGTATAATTTTTACATCTTATCGACACCTTGTAATGTTTGTTCACGTAAATCTCTTTTTCAATCGATTTTAAAATAAAGATTACAGGACTGTGATAGGTTTAATTTGCTAATAATAGCAGGACTATTTATTGTTAGCTGATGCTATCATTGTTAAAATCAAACAACACGATATTATCATCCTACAAATGGGAAGATACTGACAATGAGCGAAATAATTAAAAATAACCGATAATAACTTTCGCGATAATTAATCTATAGTGTACTGCGCAAATTCAATTAGTACCTATCTCGAATTTTAGAAAATTGAAGACATGTCCCGAATCAGTGAATCAGTGGAAATCTTAAAATCTTACGATTTTGTATAACTGAAAACTTATGGTCTCATAAGATGCTGGAACGATTTCGTCTGCGCTGAAAAGCATATTACAGATTGGTCGCTCGAACATTACCAGCTTTTCTCTCTATAGAGATAAACACAGCTTGCAACTTGAATTGTCCGTTTGCCGGCGATCCTTCACTTCCCGCTTCCCGCTTCCCGCTTCCCACTTCCCACTTCACGCTACGTAATGTCTTTGGCCCAGTTTTCTCACCGGCGTGGCGCGGCGCGGCGCGGCGTAGTGACGTCATTCACGTCATTGAGAAGGCCACTGACAACGCGCGCCCCAGTTCCTACCGCGCCGCGGCAATTCCGCCATTTCCGTCGCGCAATGCGGAACGAACTCGGTCGGGCCGGTCGGGGTTTAATCCTTCGACCCTTTGTCGCGGTCATTCTTGAATCTCACCTCTTGTACATACATACGTAACATACGTGCGTGAAATAGCTGCGTATACTATTGCGTATGTATCTCAATGACCTAGCAGCTATATTCTTTCCAAATTCCGCGCGAATATCGCACAAGTGTCGTGCAAGAATCATATACGCCTTAAACGGCAGTAATGACACTTTCTCTCAAACCAACATGTAATTATAATATAACAATCAATAAACACAATTAAGGGAATGCTGGAGTGATGGTCAAAGTTAATCAAAGTCGATAGTACAGACTTTTTTACATTCCAAATTCGATAATAATGACATCTTTCATTCATTTCTTATACTTATCTATATATCGTTGTGTCTCGCTCAAACGCATTCATCTGTTCTTATCTGACATATTGCAACGCCATCTCTTAAAAAGAGATCAACTAAAATACTGCTCGGTTTCATGGCTTCACGTCAATTTTATTCGTAGTATACGAACGAAATTTTTGGCGACTCTTTTCTCTTATACCAAAGCCCCTACATCGTTTCTAAAAGCATAGGATTGTTCTTCAAGGTTTTCTGTAGGCTGCTGGCTACTTATTTTAAACGGGTAAAATCTGAAACTCTTATATGTAGCACATATTGTGACGAGTTGACTGCAGGAGCCGGTGACAAAACTACAATTTTTAATTTTCTTTCATTTTTCGCATTACATTGTAGCTGGCAGCCTGTGTTGTTGTCGATACTTTGATTGTGGAGAAGGACTTTTCAATCCATAAACACAATTAAGAGAAAAGAGTCTTTAAAAATTAATGGTAAAACAGGACACTCCAGCATCCCCTTAAGGGGATTGTTTACCTATTTATCTACATATGATATATGATGTAAATGATGGTGAAACCGATCCTTTGTATATAATGTATCATGAGTATAAAAGATTTGATATCAACAACAGGCTCCTAATTAAATTTTATCTATCAAATTAAAAAGTAAAACACAAATGGCACTGTTTCTTGTTATTTATACAAGCTTACTTTTTTAAAAAAAGGTAAAAAAAGCGCTAAGCGTGCGCGCTTTTCGTAAAAATTATTTGGGCCGGTTTCACCAACGCCAATTACCTAATTCGCCATGGAACTGACTAATCGCGTTTGCTGTTTAGTGGAATTGACCACTTATGGTTGACACTTATGGTTGATTCGCTTAATCAACCATAAGTGTCAACCATACGTTGGTGAAACCGATCCTTTGTATACATTACTTAACTCTAATGATATATGTATCATTCATATTAAAGATTTGATATCAACAATTGGCGCCAAGTTAAATTCCATGTAATTCGGATACCAAATTAAATAAATAATATTGACTTTAATGATATGTATCATTCCATTTTGACTTTGTCCGTTTTGTCAGTAAGACTCAGTTATCTCATTTATTGTCTGAATTTCGTGCGGTGCGTGTCGATCTCAATTTATTCGATTTTCAATATGTAGACACATGTATTATAATTACGCTCAGGTGAATTATATTATATATTGACAATGTCACACAGAGAAGGATTACTTATTCTCCGGTAGATTATGGTGAGTTTTGTTAGCAGAATGATATTTCTATGGTTTCGTGTATAAAGAAATGAATTATCTTAATAGATGAAGATTCAGTCAGTCGATTAGTAAATCG